GTCACTGACAAGTGGACTGAGTCATGTCGGTAGGTGTCGATTATCTGGTTAGGGTCCGCGAGATGATAATAATCTATGGTTAGAGACCCTGAATGACATGGCTCAAAATCGTTTGCAATGGCGCAGGTGCATTTATTCTTTGTGTTCTTTGAAATTCTAACCTGAATTAATCATCACCTCTATCTTTCTCTTCCTAAATATACCTCACTAAATTATACTTCTTGAATAAAATCTTCGAACCCTAATTTCTCCGATTACTTCTGATACTTGTACTACCTCTATTACTATGGGATTTGAATTGACAATTATGTCTCTGTACTAATGTGGTATGGATACTTGAACTAATGTACGTACATACGAAGTACCACGTTGTAACTGACTGACTGACTTGATTATTTTGTTTAGAAAAAATGCGCATATTCATTATATTAAGGTATATGAATATAATGCTTAGAGTAATGTTGCTTTGTCAATTCTTATTCAGTTAGTTCGTTCGTCATAGAACATTCTACCAACCTTATCCAATCTTGATAGATGAACAGTCCTGACATTACTCTCGCATAAGATTGATTTTACATGGAATGGGTTGGATTCCAAATACTAGTTCCTCATAGTAAAAGTGAATATATTTGGTAACATTTTTGTAAAACCCTCAAAAAAATGAAGGTAGACACATACATATTTCGTACACACAATCTGTGTGAGTGATAAATTGTAAAATTGAGAAAGATTTTTGACGCTACTTATGAAGCTACTACGCATATAAGTAGTATAATTTGAAATGGTAATAATGTAAGTTAAATAATTAGGTCAGAAACTGAAATAAAAATGATTTCATTTACGCAGTGCGATTAGAATTTTAAATTGCTTTCCACAACTGGGTAGACTATGATGATATTTTAAATAATTGTAGTGTTGGTAAAATGACTAAATCAGTGTAATGTTTAGAAAAATACACCACACTCCATATGGCCACTGCGTAGCTTATTAAAAGGGTTCCCACCTTATGGTGACCGGTCTACAACCTGCCGGGCGGAATGGCGATCAAGACATTCCGGGGACATAATATTTGACCACTGGGCAGTCGGCTACGTCAGGCTGACGTCCAAAAGAGGCGAAAACAGTTAAACAATCGTAGAATGGTTGAGGTTATCTTCCTGTGCGTACGTGGACTGGGAAATAGCAGGCATCATTTGAAGAACTGGCATCGGTAATTTGTCAGTTTTCACTGAATGGTGAAGCAACGAGCTGTTGATCCAAATGAATAATAACGATAATTTTGAAGTGTATCACTATTGTCATCGTATTGAATCCTTATCCGCCGAATATCAGTTGAATATGTAGAGCTTAATATAAGGTTAAGTCAATCGGTCTTTCTTTTTACATTGGTTCACTGTTCAAATGATAGCAAAATCCTAGTTCATCATAGGTTTACAATCAACAAACTGTACTGAAGAATACTGTAAGGAAGAATATTGTAAACCTTTTGTTAACATTTCATGTGTCACTGTTATTATTGATCTGTGCAAACCAATTATAAGTGATTGTAGGATAGATAGTACAATGTATATTATATACCCTCGAATGACAATGGTTCAGGTTTCTTGTTAATTGGTTTTGTTTTCTATTTTCAGTATTATGATTGTAGGTGTAACGATCAATATCTATTGGTCATGTGAATTCAGTGGTTGCATGAGTTTAAAAACAGGGTAATAGTCTCTTCAACTTTGCATCCATGTTTCTCCTTGTTAACCGAATGCATAAGTTTCGTTCATTTACGTTATCCATGGTGAATGGATGGTAAGTGTTTAATAACCCTTTGTTTGAAATTCACTCATATGAGTGATGAATTTACATGTTTCGAGTATCGGTTTGCTTAGACGGTGAATTTTCTCACCATCTCCTTACTGAATTTATTTGATGAAAACAGAATGATCGTAGCAAATTTTATTTTCTGATTTGCTATTTAACTTAAAATGGATGCTCTCTTGTTAGTGGAAACAAAAACATTCCTATTCATTGATATTTATGACGAGGTGGAATCTGGGAGATGAATTCACGATCTCGTGATGTTATTTGCTTACAACATGGCATAGGAGAACATTCGCCGCTTCATCTTGATGCGGCGGATCTCAAATTTACATTCCACTGCTGCGAACCAGACTTCTGGGTCGTGGGCAATGAAAGCGACAGGTCGAAAATTAATGACCTGTAACCGAAAGTGTGTTAGTTTATCGTCATTTTTAGGTCTAGCCACCATTTTAAAATGCTGTTGCGGATAAAATATATATGTAAGGAAGTATCGGTATTTATTATACAACAGTTAAAATAGTGATAAAAGTGAATAGAGAAATGACAGACTCATCGTTGTCGTCGCTCACCAATTATAGTGAACTTAAATAGGATGCTCTCAAATTGATGGATTCTAAAACATTCCTTTTGATTGATATTTATGACGAAGTGGAAACTAGGAGAATAATTCACGATCTCGTGATGTTATTCTCTTCTAACATGGTCATAGTCTATATCAACAATATGTCAAGAGCAGACATAGTTTATTCTAGCCTTCAGACAAGTGAAATGATTGTTCTTGTGTCATCTTCTAGCCATATTTTGTCCTAGTTGATTATTCATAGGTGGCCTTGAATGTTTTTTCATTCGATCCTGTGTTTGTATATTGCATACTCTATTCATCATATGTCTTTAGCTTATTTTTGTTTGACTCTGTGTATATGGTAAGTCACAACTTGTCAAATTTGAGTTGGTTCACTCGTCTTCTCCGCTTTGCTTTTTCCACTTCTCTTCCTGATGTTTGTCTACATGCTCGAGTATCTGGAATATCTTCACCTCATTTACTCTCCACCTTCAGCTTCTGGTTTCCGCTATTGCTGGAATACGGTTATCCAAGGTGTACAATATGGAATTCAAAGGAGGTATTATTTTCACTAAATAGTTAATCGCTCATCCGAATTGTAGACAGATTTTAGGCCACTGAACATCTAATCAAGTTGAAATCGGAAATGAGACAAAAATTACCCGGGATTTTGTTTTAGTGACAGAAGATGAATGAGGATAGTTGACAAGTTTTCCTTTGATAAATCTTATTATATTCCATTATTCCATTCTTAATGAATAACAGTCAGTTATGCTCTATGTTGTAGTCATATTTCGCTTGATTATATAATTCATCAAAACTGATAATGTAGTGAATGAGAACACAGGTGGGGCAACCGAATTTTAGTTTATGAAAATTACAGAGTTACTCAGTAAAATCGGAAAACCATATCGTAAATTATTCATTTGCAAAAGATCAAGTCATCCTATGGAACTGGACTGTTCCTGTTGCAAAACATCAATCCATTGTCACTATTCATGCGTTTCATACAAATTCCATTGTTTTCTAACTCTTCCTTTCTCCATCTTCCCTCCCATATTATGCTACCAGACTTTACGTTGACACTCACGTTATATACTACTTATAAGTAGTTCGCACGGCAGCACCGCAATAATTGTATTATTGATATTGTATGTTGATCTGATTACTTACTTACTTTTGCCTGTTACCCCCAATGGAACATAGACCACCGACCAGTTTTCTCTAACCAGCTCTGTTCTGGGCTTCCCTTTCCAGTTCTGTCCAATTTTCGTTCATTCTTCTCATGCCTTTCTCTATTTCTCGGCGTTATGTGTTCCCTGGCCTTCGTCTTCTCCCTTTGCCTTGAGGGTTCCAAGTGAGGGCTTGTCTTGTGACGCAGTTAGGTGCTTTTCGGAATGTGTGTTCTATCCACTTCTACTGCTTCTTCCTGATTTCCAACTCCGATGGAATCTTGTTTGTTCTCTTCCACAGTAGGTCAGAGAACGAATAAAAATTCATCTTTATAAAGTGATAGGAAGCCTGATTAAACTACCTGAAGAACTCTTTTCTAAACACATATTTATACCCATTAATTGTTTGTTATATCTATCAACCTTGTGTTTTACTATACTTGGGATCATTACAATGCAACTTGATATCAAGGAACCAGATCATATAAACAGGGACTCATTAATAGGACAGGCTAAGCTAGTTCGTCAATTCTCCGCTTCATCTGACTAATAGGAGAAGACCATGCTCATCAATCCACAAGCCGCTAGAAACAAATGAACAACAGTTCAGCAATTCATGCTCAATATGTCCGACACAAAATGCTTCCTTGGATGTGTTTCACAAGCTAACATACTAGAACAGAATACGAACCAACGTCACTTGACGCCTTTCCATGTGAGAAGCACACACTGAATGTAATACAGGGCACTTTAGGAGAGAAGACGACAAATTCACCTTTTCATAAATAGGTTACAATATTAAGAATTTTACGAGGAAGATATCTAGGGATCCAGCAACTTAACATGCTTATATAATGTTTATTGTCCGTTGGAGAAATGAGAACTAATTACCATAGAATTCATAGGTTAATGATGTTTGAAGGTGAAATGAGACGTTAATTGAGCACGAATGTTCTGAAACAGTCACTGATATATGTCACAATGAATTTGAATGAAACAGGTCACCCAGAACACCTTAGTCAGAAATGTAATTGTTAAGTAACAAGATTATTGCACAAACGTATTCCCTCTTATCATACACTGTCGTTTGTAGCCTATCCTATTCACAAACCACTTTTTAGCTTGTTCTTATATAATGGTTATGTTTTATTCAATGTGGTATGTGATTAGATCTGATCGGCTTGTATCTAAACTACGTCTGTTTGAAATATGATTGTCTTGCAGGAGGAAAAGCAAAGAGAAATTCACTTCCTGACACAGGGTGAATAGATGGGACGGACAATGTAACCGTTTAGATCAGACAATTAATACTCGATTGTTAAATGAAGACACTGAAAGAAATATTCCATATAATTGGATACATTTATTAAGGAATAATATAACAAATGTGATTGGAAAAGTTTAGTAGCTGAAAACATTTTCTAAAAATTGATTCATGGCATCAATTTCGTATTTCACGAAGGGTTAGTCGAACAAGATTTGAGAAATTGATTGAGTTGAGAGGCCTAAAATATAAAGAACAGATTTTTTAGAACCAATGATCAAACAAATTCAATAGTGGTTTTTCTAACTCATTTAAATTAATTTTGCAGAAAACGTTAGCTACTTAAGGAGAATAAGTAGTACAGTTGAGTATGATAACATTTTCTATATTTCCTGAACCCACCAGATATTGCCTTCGTCAACAAATCAAAAAGCTGTCATGTCATAAAACCGATATGTATTTCTGAAGAATTTAACAACCACTTTGCATCTGAATACTAGGTCGATACTGTTGTAGGAGCTTGGATAAAGAAGGCGGGCTAATATGAGATTTTTGTTCTGCAGAGATGAAATATCAATCGAAAATGCCTATAATCACGGTACACACGTCGAAAATTTGTATTCTAAGAAATAACATTTGTCGCTACACTTTGTGGCACTCAGTTTTTGTTTGGATAAAATATTAGTCTGTAATTCAAAGTCTTTTAAATAGATCAACTATTATAATCAACTTATCTTAATAATGCAATTCTACGGCTGGCGGTGAAATCCAGGACCTGCGCTCCGTTCTATTTTGTACTCGTCAGCTATATATATCTATATCTCAGATTTAACGTTCACTACGGTACTCGAACCCAGTACCAAGTACATTCTCACATTATCCACTCAACTGATGATTCAAGATAGCCACGGATTGATGTGAATGTAGAGCCTCGGTAGGATTTGATTTTCTGACAGATAAATTTCTTGAATAAGTACCCTAAACTATTGCACACGGTATTTTTGAAGGGCTGTAGGTAAAACAGATAACTATATACATAGTCAACATTTATAATCTATTTCTCAGATGTATATTCATAAAATTAGTAGGAAAACCATTATCAAAGTCGAGATTTTCGATACAGATGTCAAGACAGTTAAATTGTGTGGTGCTAAAATTTGGAGCAATAAACATCCCAAACATACGGATGTTTATTAACAGTCGTCCAAGCAAAATAATTCGGATCCATTGGTCAGACCCTATCAACAACAACCTACTATGGGAGAGAACAAACTGGATTCCAGTTGGGGAACAAATCAGGAAGAAGCGGTGGAAGTGAATAGGACATATTGTGAAAAGCACCCAACTGCATCACAAGACAAGGCCTCACTTGTTACCCTCAAGGTTAAAGTAAAAGAGGAAGGCTAAAACAAGAACAGTTTAGCTTAACTAACTATAAGGGAAAGAAGTAGATAGGGGAACACATCAAACCTGGACTTGAAAGCAGACATGAAAAGAATGATTAGCGCAGGATAGAGTAGGTTGTAGAATGCTGGTCTGCAGCCTATGCTTTATTAAGGGCAACAGGCATAATGAATTAATTAAGTGTTCGGGATGTTAGATCCCCAGAACTCGCTTGATAAATGTCTTAATTTTGAACTCGTAATAGTTTTAAGCGTATCAAGTGACGAGCATAACAGTAAGTAAGTGAGTAAGGAAGTGAGCAAGCGAGTAAGTAAGTAAGTAATTAAGTATAAAATGTAGTTAACAAGGTATTTGTTATGACAAACAACATTCATCGATATTAAGGTTTGTAACTTATATTTTCAAATAAAATTTTCATCCCATCACCAATGATATTCGATTATTCAGAAATGCTTCAATGGTGTCTATGATTTTATTAGATCATATTTAGTTTTTTTTTAAAAAAATTCTAACACAGTAATGAAGAAAACTTTCGACATAGAACGTGATTTCTCTTAATCAATTAAAACAAACTATTGTCTATCACTTATTCTGATTCTTTAATTTGGTCACGAATCCTCTATCTGGTCTAACGACAGTCAGTCAGTCAGTCAGTCTCAACGTAGAACTTCGTACGTAAGCACATCAGTGTAGTCTGCCATACCAGATTATCATAGAGACGAAGTTGACGATTGTCAGTACTTTCATGGATTTGTGCCCTGTCTCGGTTTGGCTAACACTAGCTTTCTTCCAGCCTACCCGTAGACCACAAAACATAGTTTGACGAGGCAGTTGGTGGTTGGGCATATGAAACACATTTTCCAACCACCTCACTACTTCATTTATTGGTATGCCATCCGCACCTAGTACTCCTTTCCTAACAACAACAGTATTGCTTACTCGGTTGTCTCAGGATACGCGAGCAATGCTTGCAAGACACCTATGGTCGAAAACCAGCAACCTACAAATATCCTCTATTTTTATGTAATGTAGTCTCTGTGTGGTGTGCCGTTCGATTGTCTACAATCCACTGCCAGGATCAACTCAGACGTTCATTCAGTCGTCGTGTAGAATGAATACGGTGGATAAAGTATATTGATAAAACCACTCTTTACACATTTTATTAAAAAACCAGTAGTAATTGGTTATTTCAAATCGGTCACTTTCAAAATCATTTCTCACCTGTTCCGATTTTGATGTAAGTGGATGAGGAAAATCTTCTAAATTGAATACATAAATTGTACCTTGGTCATCACCAATCAATACACTCTTGAGAAATAAAAGATTTTTTTAAATTTAAAACAGAGATGGCTGATTTTTCATTGGTTGTTTATAATGAAATGCATAATAAATCAAATTTCATTGGAGTAACATATATATATATATATATATATATATATCAAAAACCGGATCAACACTGTGAAGAATAAGTGTGGTATATGCAAGAAGACCGGTAAAACTATAACTATCTTGATGACCTCGATGCAACCAATCGGAATTAAATTTACTCTCACATAGTTTGTGCGAAATTTAACAGTGCCAGCAATCAATAACTTACGTGTATATTATGATTCGCATTACGGGGTTGTGAAGATTGTTAAGTTACACAATTTTGAAACCATGAATCGATCAATGTTAGACCACCATTGGAAACCTGGAAGCATTGGACGGCCGTTTCGTCCTGGTATGGGACTCCTTCGAATTCTAGTGGGAAGACGTGACCAGTGAAGTTCAACCTGTTCGGGTGTAGACAGTAACTACCGAAGACTGTGTATGAGGTTGCGCAACCCTGTGAATAGATCAAGTTAGACATTAACACCGTTAGATGCCCCGCCCAGTGGTCCAATGGTTAGGCGTTAGCGCACAATACCGAAGGTCCTAGGTTTGAATCCTGCGGGGTACAGGAGTCGTGGATGCGCACTACTGAGGAGTCCCATGCCAGGACGAAACGGCCATCTTTCAGTGCTTCCAGGTTTCTAATGGTGGTTTAACATTGGTCGACTCATGGTTTCAATAATTATTCTATTATTATATTATGATTAACAAGGAAGAAATTTATTGAAATCATGAACTGGTCAATGTTAGATAACCATTATAAACCTGGAAGCACTGGGTGGCCATTTCGTCCATCCACGACTCCTACACCCTGCATGGTACGGACTCAGGGATTTCGGTCTTGCGGGCGAACGCTTAACCTTTAGTGGCATCCAAGTTTCTAATGGTGGTCTAACATTGATCGGTGCACGATTCTGAATAAGCAGCTCAACAATATTCACAACCCCAAGTAGAAACTGGCAATCGATGGTACTCAAACTGCTTGAAATCTATAGGAATTTTTATTATAAAACTGAAAAGTTAATTTAACATGATGATGATGATCACTAAGCTTATAGTGAAGGAGGACACAGGTGAGGGCAACCGAATTGTATTTAACGAAAATTACAGAGTTACTCAGTAAAATCGGAAAACCATATCGTTACCGTTAATTTGCAAATCTTCAATCAATCATCAATCCATTGTCTGACATTTCACTATTCATGCGTTTCATACAAATTCCATTGTGTTCCCACTCTTCCTTTCTTCCCATCTTCTGCTGCCAGACATTACGTTTTTACTCGCGTCATATACTACTTATAAGTAGCGCTCAATACAAGCTGACACAATTACGCCTAATGCAAATTGAATGCTATGATTCCATGCATTGTCAATAGTGTTTATTAGTGAAACTTGATGATATCATTTCTTTCTAATTTTTACTGTATTTGACAACTATAATTCTCCTAAGTTTGTAAACAGTAGAATGACTAAACTAACCTTACTTAATGTGGAAAACTAAATTGCAGAACTCCAACTTTACTTCTCAAACCTATGACACTGTCGCCTTCAGCATCATAGTTGGTGTCTCTTGGTGACTAAAACTCTTGTAGATTGATGACCGTAACTTATAACACTAGCCAGACTTTTAATAGGTGAACATAGCGTTTTCCTTGCACTGCAAGGTATAATTCGACTTATGGAGCTGTTATGTGCTGAATCACTACTCAGTGTTACCTGATTGGCTGATAGGCTGTTCAAGGTTGTCAATATAGTATACATTTCCCAATATTATTTTTACAAAACTATGATAAAAAAGGTGTTTTCTAAGTTGTGATCGAATATCATGTAATTGAATATCACAGGAAATCGGTGGGGAAAATAATAAATATGAGAGTAGTCAAACAAAAATGAGACTTATCAGTACATAAAAATCATTGGTTGATAAATTGGACCACCAGAGATCTATATACAGTTTGAGATCTGAGCGGTAATTGAGAATTTGAAATGAAATGTATCACAAATCAATAGCAAATATGTGCAGAAGCAGGGATTATTTACTGACCTACTTAGTATTATGATATACAAACTTCATGTCTTAGTTACTTTTTCACACTAATATTGAGTTTAAGTATTACACATGGGATTGAAAATTTCACGATTCATTAAACTATTTTGTTTATCTAAAGGTCAGTGATAATGTAACCTAGGTCAAGTGGAGCATCTTATCAACTGACTACAATCATTCCATTGCTTCAGTATAAAATTCATTCGACATTTAATCGAATGTCCAGATTGAAAGTTGAACAACATACACCAATTAATGAGATGACTACACATGGGATTGAAATGTTCACCATTCATTCAATAATTTGTTTATCTAAAGGTCAATGATGAAATTTTCTATTTCAATGAAACTAACTAGTAGTTAGTCTTGCATTGAAATACCAAAGATATCTCAGAATAACATAATTCTATTCCATT